TCGCTTTGCAGAATATCAACTATTGGCCTCTGTCCCCCATTTAGTGCTGTCAAAATAATTTTTCTATGGAATACATCATTATTGTAAAGTCTTACAAGGTTCGTTGACGTCAATTTGTCTGGCTGCTATTATTTAAAACAATTTCTTAAAGCAATTATTAATTTTTGTAACAAATAACTGGCAGCATTTCACTGTCTGTGTTTCTTCCGATGCCGTCAGAGCCATTATTATTATTTAGTGCAGGGAAGTGCCAATCAATCATATTTTTGATAGGTACTATTAATCAATCGGTTGTTTTCGAATATTTTTGGCTTTTCCAGAACTGCACGCGTATGAACTGGATCATGACATTGCAGAATCGGCTGTCTGTGACCTAAAGACCAATAATTTTGTAGTTTATCAAAAAGTTCTTTTGCGTGAGGAACTTTAAATGGTCGTCTCAAAATATATAAAATGGAACACTGAAAAGCCTATCATTCCTGAGTTTAGAAAAAGCAATCCTAGATTAATAGCAGTTTATACTAGGTTATTTAGGAAGTGTCCGCGGAAGAACAGAAAAGACCCAAGAAGACTATTTCAAAGTACAGAAAACCGTACCGAATATGAACTGTTATGCTTTTTGTATTGCAAAAACTATGATGGATCTTATATTATAGTACCGAGGCTTATGTTCAGCTCAGCAGAGGATGTCTAGTGGCCGATAATAATGTGTTTCATACGTAGTATCAAATATCAAAATACAGACCACCACTGATCCTAATTGATTTTAAACAGTTCTCTGTCATACCTTATACATAAAGCCTTGAGTTCGATTCCGAGAGCTTGATTATGGGGTTATGATAAACGTAACAACGTAATCAACAGACAATAGACCATTGAAGCGCATTGATCAGAACTTGCGCGTGCGTCAAACGTCCTCGTAGTGTTGCCAAGTGATGAACGATTTTTGTTATGTTTTTTTGCCACTTTAAATTGAATCTTTCTTAGAATCAGTTGACTTTAACTTCTTCACTTCTTTGTATATTTTATCTTTGTCTTTTTTGTTTTTTTTTATTTTTAAGGGGGTAAAATCATCGAATGACTGCTCCCGCCTGGGTGAGGCGGGAGGGAGTGTCAGACTCTTACTGACTAAAAACCACCCCGTTCCTTCTCCTGCACGTCGAGCCGGAGCCCCGGTTACCCGTTAGGTTCTCCGCGACTTTTTCTTTGTCTATCAATTTGATAAGTGCAATAGTATATTTGTATATGTAATATAGCAGTGTAAAAAGATATAATTCTCGGATCCTGAGTTATTAATTGATGTGGCAACACGAACACCCTTGCGTGCTCACGCGTGCTGCATTCGATTCAATCGCCATCCGATCCGATACTCAGACGTTTTTATCGATCTATTGATCCAGAATCTATTGCATATAACATGAGTTGTTACTGTAAGTGTAAATAGATTGTATTCAATTACAGACTACATTTTTTATTTATTTACTCTTCTAAGTACTTAGCATCAGTTGTTCTGACCTCGTCCCGTTCTAGATGAGATGTTGATGGCTGTCCATTGTATGTAAGACAACGAACGATATTTGGAACTATGTACTTATGTATGTGCAAGCTTAATAGGTTATTGTTCTATTTGAATTTTAGATTTGAATCTTTAATGAGAAATGTTGTCGAAATGGCAAACTAGATAGCTTTTGTCACCATCTCTAGTCTTCCCGCGAACGTCGTGAGAGCCGCGCAAATAGGAATATTTGAAGAAGACTAGGTGCTTTCTTATACACCTGGATCTTTGCACTGCCACCTCCAGACCACAATCAAGCTTGAATATTATGACTAACCGCGAAAGAGAACTGTAGAAGAGAGATGAGAATAGTAAAGATTTAAGACTAGGCTGTCAGTAAGCATCGTCATCATTACTTAGTATTAATACCTTTACCAATGTTCTATTTCAATTCTTCACGTAATACTATAATTTCTTAGCAGATATTAGCAAATATTTACAATACATTAATGGTAAATATTATGACCATCATTCGCCACCTATGACAGTATAAAACATGTTGGTGTTATCGAAAATTCGCCTGACGTAATACATTTCCGTATTAATTTCAAAATGTAAATAGGATTCAGGTCACGATTGGTAGCATGTATGTCAATATGCACTCTAAATTAATATAAACTGTTAACTGCATTTTCCGATATAGGCATACATGTCGGTTTTGCATTAAAGACTTCTGATAATATCAAATACAACCGTTTAGGCTTCATCAACTTCAAGGGGTTTGATGCTAGTTGACTCTGCACAACAAACACTAAATCAACGAATCTTAAGTTCTCTATTTTCATATCTTTCTACCAACATTTAACTTCTTACATGCAGCTGTAGCCAAATGTCATTTAGCGCTTGTCTACATGTAGAATAGAAAACCAAATTATATGGAATTGACGTAAATTTTGACACTTGTCAGTGTCATCTCCATACATTTAGTTTTCTACTCTCTCTGTAGGCAAGCGCTAAAGTAGCGTTTGGCTAAAGGCAATAATTATCATATCCTTTAATTCGGGACGTGTATAATTAGAAATAGATTCGAAAGTGTTGCATCTAAAACATCCCTCTTCATACTAATATGTCTGCATTTCATCCATACGGAAGTCAGCTATGAAATATGATGTTATTCTTAACTAATATAAATGTTATCAAAGAAAATATGTTTGAACGAAGAAAAACAAGCACATCTATTTATTCCTAGACTAACACGCCATTCATAAATCTAGCTTTTTTCGATACTTATTTTAGTATAACAACGCCACGTATTAAACCGGGTTCGGAATCGCGTATGGTGTCTTCAAGATTGTTCTAGAATCATTATGTACTATCTATCTATTGTTTTCTATTTAATGTATTGTGTTCCTTACATGTAAACATGTTATTTTGATTCGTTGTACTGTTAGATCATGTATTTTCGTCTTATACTCATTAATATTAATATTGAACTATGTACATAAGATTGGTTTAGTTGTGGGTGGTTGATCACGTCTACATTACTTTGATGATGTTGATCAATGGCATCAACGTCATCATCATCATGCAGTTCAGGTTCTGTCACTGCTAGGCTATAGGCTTCTACCGTGTTCTGCCACTCTCGGTTTAATGCATACGAAGAATGAAACACCGTTTATTATGCCACGACAGACATGTAGACAGCAAAATAGGTGCACACTAAAAGAAGTCTATAGTGTGTCGCAGCGCAAAACGCCGGAGCTCAGCGTAATGCTGTGGCCCGGGCACAATAGCTCGAGTCCACAGCGATAATTTACAGCACCAACCAGTATGACATACTTAACATATCGGGGCGTACCGCACTCCCGCTCCCCAGATGACGCCATGAACCTTTCGTTCTTCGTCTAATAGGAATCTCTCATCTACGATGACGGAACATTTAGAAACCCTTAGGAGAAAATAGAGACCAGAATAAAAGACTTACAAAAAGTAGTCTAAAACAGTCATCTTGTAGTTTTAACACCCTAGTAGTCCCTAGTTAACCAGGTCAGTACATCGATAAACTAATAAAAACTTGAGAACTCAATCTGTGCTCGACCTAGACTCGTAATATATTGAAAAACGGTAAATTGCCTTACGTTTTTCTTTTAACTACATTTCACAAAAATATAAACAACTTATTACTTCCGAATGTAAAGATCTTTGAAGTATTCCCAGCTTTTGAAATTACGTGTAATTGCTGTTATTTACCATTTCAAGATAAAATATTTTTTTACTAATGTTTCGTAATTTTATTTCGGAGAAGTGAAATATTCCTTAGGTCAGGGTGTTTATGTAGAATGGAATTAAACGTTTATAAACACTGTCTTAATATATTTTGCCCTATTTGGTTTTAAAGTCTTCTTTCTCTAGTGTTCTAATTTATTTGTTTGACGTCTGGGGGCACATTGGGAAGAAGGGAAAGGTATACTAAAATCCTAAATATTTAATACACTGGTTACATTATCTTACTATCACCTGCGTTTTCTTTTAACTATCACCAGTTTCTCTTTGATAGCTTTCGCCTATAACCTATGTTTTAGAAGTAAACAGTAAATAACACGCTTGTTTATTCAACATACAATAATTAACTAAATATCAAATGGCGTTCACCCAACATTAGTTGAAGAAATAAACAGTTTCCACGCTCAGTTTACAGCACACACAGCACATCAAGTTAGCCTAAACTGTAAACATTATTTATTCGATTTCTAACTTTATTATAAACTGGTATAGTTGAAAATTTAAATGACCAATTACGAATTATGTCAATTATTAAAGTTTTCGGTTTACTCACATAACTGTTGGACGATTAGCTCGACTAGTTTCAAGCCATACCAGGGGCTCATATTGATGAGCAGCATCTCACGAAAGTTATAATACAAATGTTATCTATAAGATTCGTTCAAGTTGTGTCATTTTTTCTCAAGAAGTTGAAGATAATGATATTATGATGACGAGCGTTGTTCAAAGGTGTCGAAAGTCGAGGGTCGTTGGTCCGATCTTCAAGTTGAACCCGGTTCGATGCCATATTTAGGTTAGGTCAACGGATGTCGCTTAAGGTGACTTCCGCGCTCCACTTAAGTATTCGTGAAAACGATTTTTAACCACGATACTGTACTATGAATGTTTTTGGTGGTTTGTTATCTTTTAGCATAGATATTTTGTTAGGGCAGTATTTTCTTTAAAGATAGTCTTGGGGTCACTGAAGGATGACATGGTGATGGCCTTTTGTGGTCCAATTGAAGTGTGAACTGTGTATGTTTATATCGTTCTTTTTACCTCTGTTCCAAACAACGAGTGGTGTACATAACATCAACAGAGGTGAACATTACGGCACTTAATGCCACTGTACCATGTAACACCCACTTTTCACTATTTTATGTTATGAGTCATAAGACATCAGTCACAAGACACATATTTCTTTACCCCTTAGAACTAATGATTGATTTTCTTTTGTCAACAGGTGATAGACTTCGGCAGCTCTTGTTATGAGCACCAGCGGGTGTACACGTATATCCAGTCGAGGTTCTACAGGGCGCCCGAAGTGATGATGGGCGCCAGGTACGGCATGCCCATCGATATGTGGTCCCTAGGGTGCATACTGGCGGAGCTACTTACAGGTGAGACCCTACATTAGACTTCTATTAAATTTACTAAAGATGGTTTAATTGAGGAAGATGGTGAAGGAAAAGGATGGAATTTCAGTTTAGAAGACAGGTCAGCAATATATAGGTGATAAGAGAAATGGTCTATCGTTTTGAATTTAATTAGTGTTAAACATTTGAGAAGCGAGCAGGAGCGATGGAGTTGTTGGATACCCATCGACGTATCTAGATGATACATGATCCATAGGTAATTGGCCTTTAAACTATATCTAGTTTTTAGCAATCTTGTGATCTAATATATGTAATTGTTATACGTCTAGCCAAAAATACCCATAGCAATCCGTACCTTCATTAGAAACACCACAAAAAAGCCATCATCAACTTGTTCAGTTTCCTCTAACGAACCTCCCATAAACGTTCCTCAGTCTTTTCATGCCAACTAAACGATTTCATTCCCCCATTCCCCATGGCTTCCCAAACCCCTTGCTAAGGCGTTTTAACTTCGCAGACACAAAAAAACTCACAATAGTCTTACAGTCTGACGAGATCTTTTTAAATAGCCAAATGATTAAGTGGAAAACCCTGAAATCTTTTTGGAAATGGTTCAAAAGTTCCTGTAATATTACACGCGTTTAACGAATGGGTTATATGACAAATAAACATTGGCTAGTGTTTTATATATGTCATTCTGTAGAGAGTGTAGATACTCTCTATCTATGAGATTGTATTTTTTTTTTCTTTATGGGATAACCTGGTAAACGAGCAGACGGATCACCTGATGGTAAGCAATCGGCGTTGCCCATGGACACCTGGAACACCAGAGGCGTTACAAATGCGTTACCGGCCTTTTGGGGATTAGGAATTTGAGGATTGTTGGGGATTTAGGGATTGAGGAGATTGAGGAAGGGGGGGGGGAGGATATTGAGCCCCTGGTATCCTTACTCACACGATGAAAAGCAACGCAAGCGTTGTTTCACGTTGGTTTTCTGTGAGGCCGTGGTATCACTCCGGTCCATCGTCAAATTGATCAACATTATTTTGTAAACAATGAAATTCTTGAATGAAGTTAAGCTTATTTAATGAGGGCATTGATAAAAAGATAGGTAGGTACTTAACGTAGAGTATTATTTGTTGTTTCAAAGGTTTATTTTTTCCTTAAACGAATATAAAGGTCTTGAAAAACAATTCTTAGAATTCGTAGTAATATTTTATTAAGATAGATTGAGTTTGAATATTTTATACAAAGTTCTTTCGCAGAAACCTTTTATATCTACATTTTAATTTAGAATTTCATTCTCAATTCTGTTTTTATCATATTTTATCAATTAAAGGCAGTCTTTTTCTATTAAGACTTGACCTACATTTTCTTCTGTCTTTCACCTTTCATCATTAAAATATACCTTTCCACGTGTTCCAGGGTTCCCGTTACTCCCAGGCGAGGATGAAGCGGATCAGATGGCGTGTATCATCGAGCTGCTGGGCATGCCGCCACAGAAGCTCATTGAACAGGGCAAACGTTCGAAGAACTTCATCAGCAGCAAAGGTCTTCCCCGGTACTGTACGGCTACTACATTAGCTGATGGTACCACCGTTCTTAGCGGAGGTAAGGAAATTAACTATTATGGATACTTGGATGAAAACTCTTGACTGACTTATTTATTTATTTAACAGTCACAACGGCATAAAAGTCCAATTACAGTAACTGACAATAATAATTCTTTTATAAACAACGTTTAAAAAACCGACTTCAATCCCTCTATTGAAATCTGTTAATTAATATACTAAAACCTCCTAAGAGTAACACTTGTGAGATTATCGCGCACAAATATATATCCATACAAGTCAAACCGAACCTCTTTTTTTTTAAATCGGTTAAAAATACATTATGTTTTGCTTAGATCTACGTTCACCATATAACAGAGGTTAAGGGTTGGTTACTAATCGCCGTTGGGTCATAATCTTTATCGATCTCGGTTTTTGCCAAAACTTCCATTCGTCTAATGGTAGAAATCTATCCACTTAATCCACAGACTCTGGTTTGAGATCGGTTATTATAATATACCGTTAGTCATATACGCGATGATAGTGAAAATATGATTGAGTAAAATAGCGAATGCAAGGAATGATTTCATACACAATCTATAAGTTTTGTTAGTTACGTCTTTGTGTTGAAGTTTAAATAAAGTAACTTTTGAGAGCTGAAGGAATCAAAAACATGTCAAGTTAATCCACAATTTGCTTCCACAACTAAAGGTTTACCTTCCATAAAAGTCAACCTTAGTAATCCCAATCAATTATCTCCGTAATCAGAGGTAATTCCTATTCAGTACAAGTGACTTTCGCAAGCAAGTCTGTGCTCAATCCGAAAATACTTTTTAAGCACTTATAAAACCCAAATGTTAAGGATTAAGGTTATCTTGTCTGGTGTTCGGTTATCTTCACTTGACGAGCACCACATGCGACCTTATTTAAAAAGATAATTCGTATCTTCATAACATCTGATAAATGATACATGAAAAGGAAATTCGATGACATGTTTGTTTGTTTCCTTGTCTGTTTACGTGATTGATCTTATCTCCGGTTCTATTGGTCGGATTTGAAAATTTCTTTCTGCATCTGATTGGTCCATTTTTGATGATTGATGGTAGCTGAATAGATAATAAACAGATAAGAATAGGAGACCTAATAAACACTTTTGTTTATTATTCAATCATGCTAAATAGGTCTAGTTACATATTTAGGCCATGACCTAGTCTAAAATGTAGGATTAAAATCCTGGTTCCCGTTATGCTGTAGGCGTAACACTTCTAACAAAACAAATTACGAAATTTCCAAAAATAAACACAAACATCACTTACTAACATTCCTGAATCACGCAATGCTTTCACTGATCGTCATTGATGTGAAATTTCAAATATTTTGAATCATTATTTTACTACGGGATGTTTGGCTGATGTCTTACTTCATGATAGTTCTACCCACGGATGGACGTGATGGTCTGACTAATCGGACGATATGTGACACGTCATACATATAATATAACATTGTCTGGCAGTTGTCTGACCTGCTGTAATAAATATATGTTGTTACACATGTGGTTAATTGTTTCTTACGTATGTTTATCTCTTCCTAGTAGAGCATTTTCTTGGTCAAATGGTAGTTTTAAAATGACTGACTGCACACATACTTTATTGTGTCTATTCTTTTTTTGGCACTGATATCTCCCCATCAATAAAATGTATCATAATATAAAATGTGATACTAATGACTCAGACTTACAGCTTTAAATCCTTTCTGATAATCTATTTAATAATTCTGCTAGAGACACAATGAAAATCAATTTGGTACCGTGGCATAAACTAGTCTTGAGGGAATCGAAGAGCACAGCAACAGCAACCGCTTAACTAGAACAAGCGATTCTATGAAACTAATTACTCAAGGTTAATTACTAAAACGATTAGTTCTATACAAAACACTAATTAAACTAGAGCTGAAGACATGAATATAAGCATAGTGATACAGTTCGAGGAAACATTTCCTTTTGGTTGCAAGCCAAATTCAACTGACATAATGTTAATGCGGTATTTGTCATTTATTTGCTAGAATTACTTCTATATTAGTTAGGTACTTATTATAAAAGTGTTATTTATTATTTTTCTGTGTCAAGTGCTTACCTAGTACATTCAATATGGAACTGTTGCAGTTGCTTTTTCCTTAGGGAAAATATTTTGTTCTTATTCCTTTCCTTATTCCTTGCTGAATGTGGTACTTTCTTTACAGACTGAAAACCACAAGCGATTCTAAGTAGTATGGTTTCATTTGTTGTAATACTGATTGTCGGAGAAGCTGCTTTGAGAGGCTCGTTTAAATATCTATTTGTGAATTGACCATCAAATACCGATGCGTAGTAAAATTAAATTTTCTGATATGAAATACAACATATCCTGTCGATGGCAGGCGCTGTGTCAATGTTTTCTTATACAATAAAATCGAATTAAAATACATTATTCTTATACAGGTTAATGAACCCCAGATTGTATTTTGTTTACGAATCTAAAAGTACTTTATTAGTGCTGTCTCTCTGGTCGTTTTCTCATGACTGAGGATCGGGATCATCTTGGCATCATTCTGGATCGAAAAAATTGTCTCCATCGGTTCCGGTCTGCGGCCATTTGTATTGTGGTGTAGAACCTGAATGCTATGTTGTCTTTAAACTGGTTAGACCTGGTTAAATAGGTGTTATAAATGTGAATGCTATACATCTTTGCTAATATATAATATCTTTGCTAATTTATTTCTTTGTATTTTCCAGGAATGTCAAGAAGAGGCAAGCCCAGAGGTCCTCCAGGGTCAAAAAGTTTTGTCACCGCTCTCAAGGGGTGCCAAGACAAATTCTTTATTGATTTTATAAGAAGGTAAGGTCCACATTCAATTTTATAAAGGACTTGTAACTACGTAATTTTTGTTAGTCCAGCTGAGAAAGACTGGTCGATTTTGATCTGGTAAACTGGAAACAAACACGTATATACTTATTTATATCAGAAATTAAGTTTAAAATGTTTTTAAATATGAGTAAACAAACTTTAATGCTCAAATAATTATTTTAGTAAGTACCGATACCTTTTTGGAAGATGCACTGAACTTTTTCTTCGTAACTTTTTTTAAAACCTTTCAGTGTTTCATCATTTCCCGAAAATCAAATGCATATGCCACACTGAACAGGAAAACTACACAAAAACGTTGTCTTTTTTAAATCTTCCTTGCGGTTTCATGCAGACGAATGAACAGATAAAACAATTTTATTAGTTTATTAACTTGAAATGTTATTCACATTTCGACATACTATCATTCCTAGTATCAAACCCCTAATTAAAAATATTATAATTGCTATTTCAAGAATTAAAAGGATGTATAAAATATACAAATCTACCGAACAAATATGTTGTCGTGTGCACATCTTTCAAAGGAAAAACTTCGGAAAAATTTGCGTTTTGTACTAATAATAACTTCCGCCTGCTGTTTTTACTCTTGTTTAATAAACATTTTGTTAATGCAAGGGTTTCGTATGTTCGTTATTTTAAGCAAAGGGTTAATGATCTTGTATGTAATGTAGAAGGATAGATCAAAAGGGCTACTAAACCAAGAGTTCTAAAACATCTTATTCTACAGTCATCCGATGGCTATAAAATGTTCAAAAAATGTCAGTGCTTTGTATAGTAGATCATGATCAAATTGATGCTTATTGATGAAATATCGTTTTTGTATTTACATAGTTCGCTTGGGTAAAATCAGACAAAAGATCAGATGGGTAATCTGATCTATTGTAGAAATCGAATCATTAAGAAAATGTTGTTACTACCAATCCCATTTTGCAGTTAGAGTTTCTCTCTTATTGAAAATAAGTTCGCATATAGAATAACAATCTGCTCAACTTTACAGGTGCCTGGAATGGGACCCAGAGAAGCGGCTGACGCCGGCGCAGGCGCTGCGACACGCGTGGCTGCGCCGGCGCCTGCCGCGGCCGCCGCACGACGAGGAGGCTGCGCCCGCGCTGCTCCCGCTCCCCCACTCTCTGCCCGCCAACCACGTTAGTATAGCGCACCACGCCAAGCGGCTCGCGCACCCTAAGTGCACTGACAAATAGGCAAGTCCTGCTTCTTACACCTTTTGTTTTTTTTATTGATTTTTTTGTGGAAATATGATGATGTTTTTTTATTAATCAATGTCTATGGTTTGCTCTCAATTTTCAAAAGATCTTTCAAATGACAAAAGATGTTGTTATCGTGTTTTATGACAGAATAGGCACGGTATGAAATCAGATTACTATGGAATGCAATCTGTGTGATATACAGATTTGATTTGATAATTTTAGAAATGAAAACAATAACGATTTAAAATCACATAGGTACTGAAAATTCCAAATATTAATAGGTATTCTTGATGTGAATGTATCATAAGTATCTTCTAATAAAACTTTTCTCCATGTAGAAAACAACATACCACACAATCTCGTAAAAATCTGATTCTAACTTTTTTCCGTCTATTGCAACATTGAGAGCAAACCCATACATTGCGTGTTTCTCATCTAACAATCTTATCTATGGAAATTGTGTGTGAGTACCGCTTGCTGAGGTGCGCATAGACAATAGTTTCTACCATAAAAACTCTTTAGAAAGTTATATCTTATTACCACAAACAATTTTAATTTTTTTTATTTTAAGTTCATTTTTATTCAGTTGCTGTGTTGTTTTTTTAGTTTTATCTTTGAGTTACGTTTTTTTTGCAAACGGGAAATAGGTATTATTTACAAAATATTATTTTAGAGAAACATTGTAACAGTCTTTGTTTATAGTCTCTATGTTATTCTTAAAACATAGTTTTACGCTAGAATTTTCTCTTGTATCGTGGGTGTATTTACAAACTGCCTTTTCTAAGTCTCCTAGTACTGCACAAACAACTGTAGATTACAAAAATATTTGTTAAATACTAAAAATTTAAGTTGCGACACGATGCGTAGCAGCCGGTCTGGCCTACCACTACGCCAATGCTAAACTAGACAGTTCGATTAAAACTACTTCGAGTAAGACTTACTCATTATAAGACTTTATAAGACTTATCTCAGATATGAAAAATGACTAATTTATTATATTATTATACAATTTCAATGATGACAGTCAATTTAAACCGTTGCCAAAAAGCAGTCAGACTTAACTTTAAATGTCAGCCGTTCTCGGAACGGTTGTGTCATCGCAAGTCTGAGACAGGCTACCAATTTTATGAACTGACACGTCGGCGCCGGCGCCTGCGCAAGATGACCGAACGTCGCGACGATACACCGTAGTGTGTCACCGCCCTAAAAGTTCAGTAGGTACTTGTGTACCTACCACAACGTGTTTATCATTATTTCATTCGTGATGCATTTGCATTGCGTATGAGTCGAGGCGTTAAATAACAAGTTAAGGTTCATGCATCTGCAATTCCTTACATGTAATAAGTACCCTGTTGTGTCTGTACGAACGCAATAAACTCAAAAAATGCCGGACAGATAGTGAGTTGTGATGTGATTCCTGAGGTCTAGTTCTTCCCGTCCATAAATTTATTTGTGCTACCGAAGTTATCAGGCTTGTAAAATTGGGTATTTGCCAACTAGTCAAATTCAATACTTTTTTCGAACTGTCAAAAACGACAGCTTTGTATGAATTTTGTACGAGATTGTGTATTGTGACGTCACGTTTTTTAGCATCAAACAGCATACCTATTTCTTAAAAATTTGCTGGAAAAATACTAAAATTAAGTTGGTCAGCAGATAAATTAATAACAGATGATTAGTTTTTAATATTTTATTGTATTGAACAGTCGAAATAATTTATTTTTGATTAAGAAAAGTACCCAATTGTTTCAATATTTGTTTGTAAAATTGACGTGCCAATAAATGTACAATCTACTTGAAAGGAAGCAGTTACCGTAACCCTTTGACAGCTACTACCTTCATCAGAGACCTTGCCACTCTAAAAACCTCGTCTAATTTATCAAAAGCCATTAATACATTCAAATTGATTGATGGTTTAAGGCCATATATTTCAGTAAAACCTTAACCGTGACTTCTCAAGTTCAGAATCAATTTTAGACGCAACCTGTCAGTGGTTTGTGTGAACATCTCTCTGCAACGTGTGGTATCTTTAGTGTAGAAGGTATTTTAACGTCTGACTGTCAGGTATTATTAGATCTGTTACGCTTACGTTAAGTCTTAGATGACGTCATAAGAATAGGTGGAATAGTAGTTTGGTCATAGTTGTAGTTGGGGCTGCGTCAGATAGGTGATGAATAGTTCAAGTCATTTTTATTAGGAAACCTAATATAATATTACTGCCTTAGTAATCTTAATATTGGTAGTTGACTGGTTGCAAACGCAACTGTTTAGATTAGAAGAGGTTTCGAGTTCGAGTCGATAGGACAAAATATTATTGAGATTTTGCGTATCCGAAAATTCTTAGGAATTTTGGTCAGATATATTGTGGTTAAGAATTGAGGACGTTACGTTGCCTGTATTAAGAGTTATGAATGAGATTTATAGACTACTGAACCTCATGATAGTCTGTTAAAACAGCAGGGAAATATTTCTTAGTTCTTAGTATTGAAACTTTCGTTTGAAACTTACGTGGTACAAATATTTGTATGATCATAGTTGTTTCAACGAGTTGTGTGCACAATGTTTGTAAACGCACCCACGATCTAGGAGGTAAATGTAGTGCGGAGGAATGTTCTAGCAAAAATAGAAGTCTATTTGAAATACATATTTATGAGGCAAATAAACGAGAATGAAAAGAGTAGATATTTACAAAGTAACTTTAGAAAGAAGTGCATCGTATATTTTTAAAGTAAAGTATTCCTAACTAAAGTGTATTTTCTCATACGTAGATAATGTCTGAGTCTGGCCGTCTTAAGTTCTATTGAACAGGGGTGATGTGATATTTTAGAATAATAATAGGCAATATATATTGGAACTTGAAACTTTGCACGCAATTTATTAATGCCTATATTTGCCTAACTATAAATTATCTCGTTGTTTGTGTCCTAAATAATATACATCAGAATTGATCAGAAGACATCTAATAAAGAGCAAATGTCATGAGAGGTAGGGAAAAAACATATACCATTAAAAGTACATAAAAAACTTCATCAACGATCATCCGCTATACAAAAGTTATCTACAATAATGGCTTGAATATCTCAATTTGCATAATTAAGCGAGCGACGCATTCGTTTGTATCACGCGACATGCAACCATGCACTCTGCTACTAATTCTTGATCATTATCTATGCCCCAGTTATTGAAGCGTTTTTATTTGCCCTTTGATATAATCGATGTTTTGTTTTGTAAACTGCTAGACTTTTTTTGCTTTCGCTTTTAAAAGGACTTTTAGTAATATAGCATTCAGGATTATGTTTTGGTAGTATAAAGTTGAGAGTTAAACTTTGGTGTATTTTTATGTAAGTTGATATAAGTGATCTCTCTTTATTTAAGAACATTGGTTATTAACTAGTGATACGTAGTCGATCTGGTAATACTATACTAGCTAGTATACTATAAACTTTACTTCAGTAGCAGTAAGAGAGGAGATTCGTCTATAATTGTGTTATCTTTACTTTATAGATTGTGTTTTAGTTAAGGATCTAAGGTCTGATTTACTAACAGTATGTGTCCTGTATGTGCAGACGAGCGGCGGGTGCGTGGGTGGCGCGGGGGCGGGCGCGGGCGGGTCGGGGGGCGCGCGCGGTGGTTCACTGCGCACGCCTCTCGCGCGCACGCCCGTCACCTTCAACGCCTCGCAAGTCGCCAGTGAGTATACCTTTAATATACGTTTCCATTATAAATTACCAGCTTTATTTATAGTTTGATCCCAAATGAATACATTTTTTATACATATAAGTGACTTCAGACTGTGGAAGAGCCAATCTCATACGATTTTTTCGATTTGTCTAAAGCTTTCGACTACTCTTCTAATTTCTATAATCTCTTTAAACTGAAACTTACTGTGTATTACAATAACAATGTACTTTTGATTATCGTTCTAAGTTCTAAAAATGCCTGTGGCCCCTAATCACGACAAGGGTTCAATTTACCTTGGTGTTCCTCAAGGCAGCATTTTAGGTTCAACCTTTTTTACTATCTGTGTCATCGATCTTACGTCAATTTCTATTTTTCAAACTGCAAACTATACTCATTGGTAAAATGTAGACTAAAAATATTTTTCGTTGTGTTCACAGAAGCGAAACTGCAGGCGGCCCTGTCGGAGGAAAGCGGTGGTGGCAGCACGACCAGCGGCGTGAGCGGCGTGAGCGCGGTGAGCGCAGTGAGCGGCGTGAGCGGCGTGAGTGGCGTGAGCGGCGGCGGCGCGCACGGCATGGCGCGCTACTGGGGCGCCAAGCTGCCGCACCTGGGCGCGGCGTCCTAGCGGCCGGCGTCGGCGCGGCGCCTGCGCCCCGGCCGCCTGGAGCCCGAGCGCCGCTCGCTGGACCTGGAGCGCGAGCTGCGCCCCGACCGCGACTCCGACGTGTCGCTGGACGACCGCGACCACCTCGTCTGACCCCGCCGGGCCCTATTGATCTCACTAACTAAGTTATACGAGCGTGTAGTGGATTGTGCGAGTGCCGACTCTGCGGTGTTCTATGTGTTGTCGACGTGGACGTTCGGGTGTGTCGGTGTTAGTGCCTGTGAGTCTCGTTTAGCGTTAGGGAACCCTCGACCACCGTTCGGGGAACGATCCCCGATCGTTTCGCCGAGAACGACTCGTTAGCCGTCGAGGGCGAACGTTCCCGGTCGGGCCGGGCCGACGTTGTATCTTGCGCCGCAAGATGCTCTGGAACGCGCCCCGCCCGCGTGCGAGACGCTCGCACAACAATTCCCCCTCGAAGCTGTAGATTAAGCGAACTTGTGTGACTAAAATAATTTAACATTTTTCTACAGAATCAAATGTCATTCGTTCATTTTAATTTTAAACAAATCGATTTAAGTTACATTTTGTGTAATTAGTTAATTTTTCTCAAGTGATATAATGAAGCTGTATTCGTAACGAAATGGTGACCTTATAATCGGAATTCTTAAAGGATATAAGGGTAGTTAGTTACAAGGCCTTTGAAACTAGGTTAAGGAGCTAAGCTACGCTATTTATTTGTCGACTAGCGTAGTAGATGTCATTGTTGTGAATCATCGATATCATTTACGTTATGATTTGAAGCGCTTATGTAATCGTACGGTAGCCACATGTAACGTTGTCCCGGGCCACGCGTGGGGTGCGCTGGACCCGTAACGCATGTTAAGTACATTTTTCAACATATTATTTTACTACTCGTTTACAGATGTTTGTCGTATAGTTTTGTCGTCGGTAGTCTGTCAAACATATCAGGACGAGCATTTCTTCTGCCAGTATGGTACAATGATCGAGGTAACTAGTCGGCCACCGAACCTAGTCCAAACTATGTAAAGTTAGGTTGTACGTTAGCTTGTAAGAATTGATTCAATGTAAGTGTGGAGCGATTCTTGCGTAGTGACGACTGCTTACCTCGACCAAGCCGAACAAACTATTTTACTTATGTACCGTTTGCACTGCTCCAGTGGTTTAGTCGAGTGGGCTAGTAGCTACACGTATTGTGAACAAATGAATTTTAGTTTAGTCAATTGTTTTTATTGCAGTCGTTGCTAACTTGCTACTTGGCTTAATCACTAGATCACAGCAAACGGAGATCTCACGAAGATAGACCATCTTTTGTAAAGCATTTTGTTCACCCATTGAAGTTTAATTCAACCGGGTCAGCAAACTAGGGTCTGTCTTGTGTGATCTAACTAATCAATAATTATTTGATACAAAAATAACCTTTATCACCTTGTAATTAAGTGCAATATGTTTGACATAAAAGTTTAATTTCGTCTTCCTCATATTATATTATATTTGTAACGTTTTACAAATGGCCTATAATGTTTATTCAATTAACATGCATTTTTTATTATTTTTTTCGATTTAGTTTGTAGATTTTCTTGGATATTTGTATGTAGACACTTGTAATGGCTTACAAATGAAATGTATTATTTCAATTTTGTGGGATTGTAGTCCGAGCAAGCACTTATGCAACTTTATTTATGTATATTATATAACTATCGTGTATTGTCTACTTCTTGTGTATGTTTTTATTGTTTTCTATTTACCTATAATATAATAATTAAGATGGTCACTACTTGGATCATTTACTTTCTCCTAATATTGTATAATGTCTTGTACAAAAGTTTTGGAAATATTTTAGATATTTGATACCCTATTTAATGCAGGACCAATACCTGTGCATTTTATATATGTATATGTATAGATATCGACCAATTGAACAAAAGGGTTCTATATTTACGCGACGGGACCCTAAATGTTAAAGTTCCGTACGTGCTTGCTTCCCCGATTGTATTTTATCATTTGACTATCTCACTATACTCAATGTAGCATTTTTATTTCGATAAATTGTGTTTAATTTGACTGCCGTTTTCTTATAATTATGCTCAATGATAGTTTAATGTCCTAGTACTCTGGATTGTCTAATATAGGCATTAACGATTGTGCGATGACCTTAGTTTATTATTTGTGACGTGGAGATGCATTGACTGGAGAGTAACTGACTGACGTCCGTCAGTCACTCGCGGGTCATGTGTCGACGCGCTTCCTATAGCGTCTTAAGGTATTTAGTCAATTATTGTATAGCTTTTTTTTAACTTTTGGGAACTCGAGGGCTGATACACGTCAAGCAGCCCAGTATTCACCTAACGACCTTGGAAGTCGTATCCCTTCGGCTCGGCTTGGCATCGATCAGTATTAATCATTTTGTTCACCTCGACCACGACTCACAATAAACTGCCAAGTACATATAGTTAAATTAAGTATCGTTTGCTATACAAAACTATAGCAACAACTAGTTACTACAAACATTATTAGCTTTCGTTGGAACGCATTTCTCTTATACCTAGTTATTTTTTGTGAAATATTTTTGTTCTCATTTTATATGTAAAAGCTGGTGTTTCACCTTTGAAACTCGTAACTACAATGTGAATATAAAATAAATGAGTTATACAAATATATATCTTGTGTTTATTTTTATTATGACAGTAAAGACAGTAGAATACCTTTATCACTGCCTTTATTCTCCCCCCGGATGTCGTAAGAGCCGACTAAGAGACTATACATTTGACCAACACCGGGCAGTAGAACTGTAATAAATGTAAACCTTTGAAACTTGAAACAATGAAACGAAACAACGGGTTGTTGATGATGTTCGTTACAAATATTTTAATGATAAGAAGCTGACTCAAAACTTTATAAATCAATCAATTCTCTGTCATTAGGGGCCGATTATTCAATATTAGTATGAAAGAATTGTAAAATGTTCTAAGTGATTCTTCTGATAAAATTTAACTGGCGTTGGAAAAATCGGCCGTAAGATAAACAATTGTAACAGATTGATATTATGGACCGTTCATGTAACAGAGAAAGACAAATAAATTCATCTGCCATTGATTGACTTCCTTGAAACAACATACATATAATACGTAACTATCGTGAGACAAACTAAATTAACTAAAATCACGGGTTACTCACGTGAATATACTGATAAAAGCTCTACTAGTTTCGAACCATAGAAGGGTTCTTCCTCATGGTCATGCTTCGGCACGAATGGGCCGGCTCGATCGGAATGATACCACGGCCTCACAGAAAACCGACGTGAAACAACGCTTGCGTTGGGTGTGTGAGTGAGGTTACCGGAGGCCCAATTACCCCCTCCCTAGTCCCCGTCTTCCGAATCCCGAATCCTCCACAATCCTCAAATTCCCAATTCCCAAAAGGCCGGTAATGCACTTGTAACGCCTTAGTGTTTTGAGTATCCATGGGCGGCGCCGATTGCTTACAATCAGGTGATTCGAATGCTCGTATACCGGCTTATGCTATTAAAAAAAAAAGAGCAGCGTGCACGGTCGCTGCGTCGTCGCGCAGCTCACATAGAGCTTTACTCAGTATGAGTACTGAGGTACATATGTATATTTGTATAGTCTCTTGGTAGACTAAACACACTTTTCTTGATTAAAATGAAAGTCAATAGTTGAGAATAATAATTTGTATTGTAGAATAATAAACTAACGTAAAATGGATTGAGTGAACTGTATGAGCGTGAGTGCTAATGTGAATTATGAGAACGCACGGCGGACTTGATTGCTCGATACGAACTGAATCGAATAATTAGGTAAATGAATTACGATGCGTAAAAATGCTGACTTTAAATGTGTTCGGTTGCACCGTACAATATTCATGTGAGTAACCCGCGATTTTAGCATTTTATCCTTGAGATTCTAGTACATCTTTGAGAGATTAGCGTGTCGAATCTCGAGCACTTCTCATTCGTCCTTTGTTATAGTACGAGAGTAAACAACACTAGGATTTTGCGCATCATAAACCTTTTAGTACATTTTGTCGTAAATTCAGATAACTAGTAAAATAGTTGAGCTCTCCAAATACTGATAAACATGGCACTTACGATTAGTTCGCGAGTGCCCTGTTTATTGAGAGCAATGCCGAAAACGATAACAATTTCCTATGTCAGTATTTTAGTCGGTCTAACTAGACTGACTAGTGCCTAGAGACTGGCTATCCATCACAACAAATTTGTATCGACTTTTCAATTCAATGAAATATTCACAACTTCGTTTATTGATTTGAAGGTATAGGTACTAGGAACTTAATTAATTTTCGTTTTGTTTTTCAGAAAACAACGTTACTTATTTTAGAAATAAGTCTGCAACTTACAAACTTTATCCCTAAATTAACACAAACTAACCTTACACAAAACTAATAGAAAACTACAGTTTTACGAATGAGTATTGACTACTACTACATACTTATAGTAGTAGCA